AGAAACAGATGATTGCTGAAACATTGTACGACCTCTAAAAAAACAGAAATGCTAACAGACTAGAGATGGACAAATCTCATAAAATTTTCAAAAAGGGGAATGAAGAGAATTACTCAAAGTGTAAGCCAATGAACTTGATTTCACTTCAAAGCAAAATTCTAGAACATAAAAAATAAAGTACTGATTTATGAGCATTCAGAAAAAGAAACAATGATGACAAGGAGGGGTCGTAGGCACACCAAGACAAAGAACCAGAATATGTTTATCAATAAGCTCTGGACAACGTCTCACATGATGGCCTTCTGGGTAAGATGGAGAGACACAGGCTAAGGCTGATGGCATCAGAACTGGTCAAATGACCAGATCCAACAAGTCAAAATTAACAGGTGGACGTCCACCTCTGTCAAAGGAGCCCCAAGCTGTCGGTCACTGTGCATTTTCACCAGTGACCCAGACGAAGGCACAGATGAAAAGCTCAAGTTTTTCAAACCTACAAACGCTGAGGGGGACCCACAACTCCACCAGAGACCAGAACAACGGGTAGACTCTAAGATGAAATTAAACAGTAGACATAAAGTCTGACATTTGCAAAAGTCAGAATGAAGGAGAGGCTGCTAGACAACAGGTGGTATTTCACAGGCTGATTAGACTATAAACTCAACGAGCTGAAAGCGTGAGGTGACCACCATCCCCGAAAACCTCGTGTGATCTTCACACCACTAGGTCATGGACCAGGGCAGGAATGCCTTCCACCAAGGTGGATCGCAGCCCATCAGAGATGGAAGGGACTAGCTCCAGGACCCTCAGGCAGCTAATGTCAGGGCCTCCTCATTCCACATTCAGCCCTCTTTCCCTTAAGCCTTGCTGCCTTTCCCAAGGCCACGCTAAGAGAAACCCAGGGTTGAAACCAGAAGAGGGGACGGTCTGGCTGCCGTCTGTGCTGGGAAACCACGTCTGGAGAACCTTGCTGCATTGTGGGAGTCACATCTCGGGAAGGACAGCAGCCTGTCCAAAGCAGGGTGGCCAGGACCAGCAGCAGCCTGAGCAATGGAAAGAGGGAGTGAGGCTCAGCTTCAAGAATGACAGAGGCTGCCCTTGAACTAGAACAGGCTTGTTCGGCTTGGCCCAAAGGACAGAACCTGGAAGCAGTGGCTGTGTTACCAAAAACCACTGTCATCTCAAAAGAAGAAAAACCGCCAAAAGCAGAACGTGCTAGGTGTGCTCTGCCAGCCTCGGCCAAGGCCTGGCCCGTGCCTGATCAACACCTGTGGATGAGCTGATGCATCCCCCTAGGGCAAGGCAGCGGAGGCATCACATGGACCTGACCTTCCTTAAGGCACCGAGGTGATGGGCTCCACCTAGTAGTGAGCCGGGGTCATAACAAATAAAATCCTTCAGAACACTTCACTTCACAGAAATGTGGTACCAGTTTGGCTACTGCTTACATCACTACTGAAAGGTCTCAAGGATCACCTAATCCAGGAGTTCTTAGCCTGGGATCCACACACCTTCCCTCCCTTAAGGGTCCATGGATACATTTGAGAGGGCCTGTGAACTTGGATGGAAAAAAAAATGAAATAAATTTTAAACATCAAGAATTGCATCTTTATTTTCACTAACTTCTAACTAAAATTCAGCATTTCCTTCAACTAAGAATTTTTTTTTTATTCTGAAAAGGCGTCTGTAGGCTTCTCCAGACTGCCAAAGGGACCCAGACTGATCCAAGTCCCAGTCTAATCTGGCCCCTAATTTTCTAGATGAGGCCATCTACCACCATGACCATACTGCTAACAATGGCCCTGGAGGGGAAAAAGATCATCACGTACAAAAAAGTCCCTAGCAGTGCTATTCATCGTAGCCAAATGGTTGAAATTGCATGGACCTGTAATATTTGGTGAATAGGTGCTGAATGAAATGGAATAGGATTGTAGCATAAGAAACGATAAACTTGGAGAATGCCCAGAAACATGGGAAAACTTGTATGAAATGATGCAGAACAGAGGGAAAGAAACACTGACTCTAGGTTGAGGGGCCTTGGTTCAGATCCCAGCCCTGATGTTTACTAATTGTGTGTGACCTTGGGCAAGTCACTCACCATCCTCCCCCACCCCAGGCTTCAGTTTCCTCATCTGTAAAATTAGAAGTTTGGACTAGATGGCTTCTAAGGTTCCTTCCAGCTCCAAACTTTGGTTGCTATGGCAGCATAAATGGACACAGTGATATACAACACAGCATAAACAATAAAATGGACAAACAGAAAATGTACTCCACGGGGACCCACCTAACCAGGATGCCCTCACTAAGACTACCTTGGTAAGAGAAAATAAAATTAAAATTAAAAAATAACAATAAAAAAAATTAAAATTTTTAAAAAGTCTATGAAAACCCCACGTCTGCTTTTGTGTACACTCACAATCTTTCTCGTGTTAACGTGAATATTTGTGTTTGCTGAGAGATGCTGAGCCTAATTTTTTAAGGAAAAAAATAAGCTGATAACATTTGATCCTGCCGACAGACCCTCAGCCTCCAGAAGAGGATCAGATTTTTGGCCACAGAAAGTGATGAAGCCAAGGCAAGGACCGCATTTTAGCCGAACCTGGTACCTCCCTAGGGCTGAGTCCAGCGTTCTGTGAAGGAAATGGGAAGGAGGGAAGGGAGGGAGAAAGGAAGGAGAGAGGGAGGGAGGTCAGGATTCAAACACAGGTAACCAGATGTCCAGCGGAGGGATGGGTTTTTACCATATCGTGTTGATTTACGTTACAAGAAAACAACATTAGAAAGCTGTCAAAATTTTTTTTTTAAAATTGGAGGACTGTCATTTCATTTGTAAAATGAAGGGTTAGACAAGATGATCCCAACAGATCAAATGATAGTGAATGTAAACAAGTTTCAGACTTTCACCTGTGATATAAATGTTAGCTGCTTTTAGTATTATTATATTCTCATGCAATGCAAAATCCCTGATCATATGACCAATGGTAAAGAGATTTCCAAATAGCGAACTCTCACTGAATTCAGAAAAGAAATTCCTAATTATTCACTATTGATCAGAGAAATGCAAATCAAAAAACTCTGAGGTACCACATCACACCTATCAGATTGGCCAACACGACAAAACAGGAAAATAATAAATGCTGGAGAAGATGTGGGAAAATTGGAATACTAATGCATTGTTGGTGGAGTTGTGAATTGATCCAAATATTCTGGAGAGCAACTTGGAACTATGCCAAAAGGGCTATAAAAATTTGCATACTCTTTGATCCTGCAAATAGATCTTCTAGGGTTATAACCCAAAGAGATCATAAAAATGGGAAAAGGACCCACATGTACAAAAATATTTAGAGCAGCTCTTTCTGTGGGGGCAAAGAAGTAGAAATTGAGGGGATGACCATCAACTGGGGAATGGCTGAACAAGTTGTGGTATATGAATTAATGGAATACTACTGTGCTATAAGAAATGATGAGCAGGCAGACTTCAGAAAAACCTGGAAAGACTTGTATGGACTAATGCTGAGTGAAATGAGCAGAACCAGGAGTAGGCTGTACACAGTAATAGCCACATTGTGCGATGACTGACTTTGATAGACTTAGCCCCTCTCAGCAATGCAAGGATTTAAGACAACTCCAGAAGTCTCAGGATGGAAAATGCCATCCACATCCAAAGAAAGAACTATGGAGTTCAAATGCAGATCAAAGCAGACTATTTGCTTTTTTTTTTTAAGTTTTGTTTTGCTTTGTTTCCTCTTTCTGATGGTTCTTCCTATTGGTTCTAATTCTTCTTTACAACACGACTAATATGAAAATATGTTTAATAGGCATGTATATGTAGAGCCCATATCAGATTGCATGCCATCTTGGGGAGGAAAGTGGGAAGGGAGGGGGAGAAAATTTAAAACTCAAAAGCTTATAGAAATGATTGCTGAAAACTAAAAATAAATTAATTAAATTAAAAAAAAAATTCCTAATTACTAAAATGACTGAAATGGCCTAAATGAACTCATCTTTTCATATGATTATTGTGGAAGGAAAACTCCATGGCCTCGGACCCCAAGATCCCATTGCTGAGCACGTACTTCCTCAAGGAGGCCAAAGACAGAAGGTCCCACATACCCGGAAATACACTTCACAGCAAGCACTTTTTGAACTGGAAATAAAACGGATGACATCAAGTGAGAAGCTACAAACTGTGGCACGTGAATGCCATGGAACATTACTGTATATGAAGAGAAATGTTCAGGAAACATGGAAAAACTCACATGGACTAGCTCAGAAACAAACAGGTCCAGGAAAACAACAGCCATGATGGGAATGGAGAGAACCACAAAGCGAAAATGAATGCCAGGAACACGGAGGCAGGTCCAAGGGAGCCTCCCTCCTTTCCTGGCCTAAACACAGGGGCTGTTTTTGTTGTCTCTTTCTTTTTCATTCTTTGCTACAAAAGATGACTTTCTGGGAATGAAGGTGATATAAGAACAAAAGATACCAGTTAAGTGTTCTGGGTTTTTTTTTCCCAAGGAAAAGTCAGTTGGTATTCTCCCCAAGCTCATGCAGGGCAAAGAGGTGGCCCAGCCCCAGGGTCAGGGACAATGTGGGATTTAAAATGCGCCCAATTATCCATACACCAGGTCATTATGGGGATGCAGAGCCAGAAAAATCCTTCCAGAAGACTCTAGACTAAACCCTGATTCTATAGGTTGAGCAGAACGTGGCTCGCCTTGACCGGCCCCTATGACTCTGCATAGATGCTCAATGAACATCAGCCCAAATGAGCTGAGCAGAACTAGAACCCCAGCCTAGAGCAAGAATCTTTCCACTAGCAACCATGTCTAACTCAAGGCTTGGCTCTCAGGTGCAAGGTCTCCAAAGAGCTAAACAAGCAAAATTCAGGTCAGTTCCAGAGAATGCCCGACACCTTTTTCACTGAACAATCAGCTTTTCTGTCTCAACAATTCCCCAGCCCAGCCCCAGGTTGGTGGTGAACGTAGGCACTGTCACGGTACCTCTGGGGAGCCGTTCTGAATCTCCTTCCCTGTCACTGCCACCCCCTCACTCGGCAGGGCCTGTTCTTGGGCCATCAGAGCCAGAAGCTTTCGGATCAGAACCACATCCTTCAAAACAGCCTGCAAGTTCACCGTCTGGCCGTTGGTATACATCTGGTCCCCGAGGCGGTTGACTGGGCGATACCTACAATGCAACACAAAGAAGAAAAGCAGAAACTTCCCTCTCACCTCTGTTACTAAAAAAGCAACTGCAGCCTCCCGCCCCCACACACACCTCCAAATGATCAAGAAGGAGTAATCGAGTCTAGAATGGAAGAATCCTTTACTTGAATTCTCTACTGACTTGGTGGAGCATCCTCGGGAAGGGCCTGCCCCCACACCTGAGTCATACATCCCTCCCCCCAAGTGATATGGCATCACCCAACTCGTCTTCCACGCCGTCACAGAATTAGTGTTACCTGGAAGGCGGTACCACCACAAGATCCAAAAAGAAGATATTGGGATTGAATTTGGACTCTGCACCAGTATCCTCTACTCCAGAGAAAAGGCAGTTCAGAAAGAAACCTGTGATTGAAAGCAAGTAAACTTAGTAAATCAAACAGAAGAACACCAAAATGAAAAGAACACTCAATAATTTCTACATAGGAGCCAAAGGAGAAAGAAGACTCATTAATGGTGGTTAATGAGCTTAATGGCCACAGAGTTAATCTCCCTGTTGTAACAGAAGGAAAGCTATCTAAATCAAATGATCAATGTGAACTCACAACAAGCAAAGAGGAAATAAAAAGAGCCATCAGAAACTACTGTAAAATTTACACAGCAACAAAACTAAGAATTCAAAGCAAGTTGATAAGTAGTCCACAAAAATGCAAAATACAACTAACAACAGACTTTACATTAACTTCAGAAAAAAAAAAAAGCAAATGGGGGGCAGCTAGGTGGCGCAGTGGATAGAGCACCAACCCTGGATTCAGGAGGACCTGAGTTCAAATCTGGCCTCAGACACATAACACTTACTAGCTGGGTGATCCTGGGCAAGTCACTTAACCCCATTGCCCAATCAAAAAAAAGCAAAAAACAAACCATAAAGTGACAAATTAAAAAAAAAACCCGAGATCAGACAGATTTATAAGTGAATTCTGTTAGACAGTTAAAGAGCGATGATGCCTATGCCACAAAAATTATTCTCCAGAAGAGAGACTAAAAGCATTTACCAAAACTTCTTTTTTGGGTTCTGCTACCCAAACAAGGGAGAGACAAAACAGAAAAAGAAAACTATAGTCCAATTATACTAATTCATATTAACATGAAAATTTTAAGTAAAATCATCACAAGGAGACTACAGCAATATAGCCAGAAAATAATTCAGTATAATCAAGTTGGATTCACATGAGGAATACAAGAATAGCTCAACAGCAGGGTTAGCATAAGCAACATAAACAAGATATCAAAACCAGAAAACTATTTTCAGCAAATGCAGAAAATTCTTTGACAATACCCAAAATCCATTTATATTTTTGAATCCTAAAAACGTCTATTTGATCTAATGTGTACAAGAGCTCTGAACTGGAAGTCTAATGATTAAAGAGCAAAAGACCGGAGGAGTGTTTAAAACTGGAAACGTTCTATTCAATCAAGGCACCTTTCATGTACCACTTTTGTCTACCTTAGGTGATACTTCTGAGAGTTAGACATGACCTTATATATCACCTAGTCCAATTCTCAATTTAAAATGAGGAAACTGAGGCCCAGAGATTGGAAGTGACTTGATCAAGGTCACACAGTGACAGCTAGGATTTGAACTCGGGAATTCTCTCAGTCTAAATCCAATGCTCTCACCCTGAACTGCCAATTAAAAGGCTTTCATCTCTTCTGCTTTTTTATTTTCCCTTTGCTTTCATACTGGCACCATTCATTAGCTGGTTCTACAAAAACATATCAAGGGAAATTCTGTTAAGGAGGCACAGGAAGAATAAATGATAAGCCAAACTACATCATAGCAAGGTTTTACAGTTTCAACAGGTCCCCAGGTATGAACTGCTGCAGAACTGACAAATGATTGGGTAAGGGCACTGTTACATCATGCAAGGCATGCATTCATCTCTATATATTTTATATTTCTGCATTTTTAATAGCCAACCACCAATGACTCGTCTATAAGCACTCTTCCCAGAGTAGCGGGAAGAGCGGCATACTATAAGTCAGTAGACCTGAGTTCCAAACCCAGCTCTGACTCTCACTGGCTATTTCATAGACAAGTCATTTAACTTCTATAGGCCTTGTTTCTCCCACCAATGAAATGGGAATAATAACATTTGCACAAACTACCTCAGAGTGACGTTGTGAGAAAAGGACTTCTCAAGGAGCTCGAGAAATCTGAGGTGCTATAGAGAGCACAGCCTCCCAGAACACAGTGAGCCAGCTAGTTTGGCCTGCTCTGACCAGACCACAGATGCTACCTACCCAAAGTATAAAAATCCCAACTTGTACAAGGAATCTCTTAGGCAGCTACAGAAAATCATGCAGCACAAAACTGTTCTAAACAGCATGTTCTGCGCGGGCATGGCATTCAACTTTTCAGGAACATAATGATTGTGTAAACGGTCAGCTCCAGGTGACCCGACATGAGGGACAGACCTCAGTGGAGGACAGCAACACTCACGGATAAATAAACGAGCAAGAGAGTGCAGAAACTTAAGACTCCTCAGGTAGAGTACGTTACCTTCATTCTCCCAAAGGGCCAAGACATGTTCTCGGGCAGTGCTGGGGGTCAAGTAGCCCCTTTTCCCCAAATGGGCTTCATCGATTTCTGGGGCTGGGAAGAGAAAACCAAAAACAAATGATACAATCAGGGCAAGGAAGTCTAGGGATGACAAGCCCTGACCTTTCTCTTTGGGTGTGGCGCCTCCCTCCTCATCTCAAGCACACCTTTGCGGTTGGGCTGTTCACAGGCTCAATCCTTCAAACACACTCTACCAGTGGCTCCCCAGCCGACGGCCCCTGGGCAATTCCCAAGGGGTCCATCTCATTAAATGACTCAAGACAATACAAAGCAAATGTACTTCTGTAGACTGAACAGATCTCATTCCATACATATCACACAAACAGGCAAAGGTACCAAAAAGGATGGCACTTACAGTCCCTTTGTCCATAATAAACAGATATTGCTAATAAGGCTGCACTAAACACCTGACTGAAACTCTCTCGTTTCCCGTTGTTTTCTTTATCAAGGAAACAAGGGCTCTCTCCTGCCCCTTCTTCGTCCACATCAGTGACTTCCCAGTTTCAGATGGACGTGCCAGGATGTGGCTCCCAGAGAAATGCCCCCCCAGCCTCCTGCCAGTGAGGCACGCTTCCCTCCTCTTGTCACCAAAGCCAACATCAGAAACTGATGAGAGTTTATCAGTGAAGAGACATCACCACCTTTGCTACTGAGCCCTAACAACTAGGGGAGTTTTCCATTTGACTCACAGCTGAAACCTTGTGTGTGTCATCACCCCAACAGAACGTGAGGTCCCTGAGAGCAGGGACAATCCAACTTCACCATCTGTATCCCTCACGCTTACTATGGTGCTTGGCACATCTTAAGTGCTCAATGAAAGCTTTCTCCACAGATAAAGGTGACTTAGGGATCAGACATCGGCCCGTGGGTCTTTATTCTGCTTAACCATCCTTTTTCAGGACAGAGAGGGCTCTGCAACGGTGAGCAGGGTCACCGGCAAGTGAGGTCAGCTCACACACCTCAGACCAGGGAAGAGCAGATGTTGAACCTGAGGGACTGTTAAAAGGTACAGTTAAAGCTTCCTGCATCCAGAGACCTGTGAAGTCCACCCCATGGCCAAGGATTGTGCTGGGGGTGTCTCGATGGGGACGACAGAGTCCAAAGGCTTCGGTACTGGTTCGTTAGATCTTACACATGCATACACTCGTGCTCATGCACACTTCGGTAAGAGGGAGGTAGAGCAGGGGGTGCAGACTATGATTTTGGTACTTCTTCCCCAGCCCATGCAGGTAACACTGCCCCATGATTTAACAGGCTGATCCCACAGCCTTCCCACCTCATGATCATTCTCCTACGCCTCTACCGTGAAATCTTCTCCTGGGCCTAGGTCCAATGTACCGTCTTGTTGCTCAGGGCCCTAAGAGGCAATTTGGGTGGGGTCACTGACCCAGGATGTGTCTGAGCTGGGATCTGACCCCAGAGATCCACATTCTCTGTCCACCCACCGCTTCCTCACAAAAAAAACCCCAAAAAACAAACAAATCAAAAAAACCAAGAGAGTCTGAAAACTGTGATGGATATTCCTTCACTCTCTAGCCAGAAACATAGTGCAAAGGAGGCAGGAGAATGGGCAGAAACGTGTGTGAGGAAAGGCATCTGTGATACAGAAGGACTCTGAACACTGCTAAGAAGCCAGTGAAAAGGGCAGACAATGCACAAAGTAAGAGCATGTATTTAGAGAGCGACTTAAGGCTGGCAAAGCTCTCTGACAGTGATTTCTTCTGATCCTAGATCCACAGCTGGCACAGACCTCTCCGTGGTCTTCAGGCCCATCCCCTCATTTTATGGATGAGGGGAGTGAGGTGACCTTGACAAGCAGCAGAGGTAGCATCTGAACCCAGGTCCTCTAACCCAGAGCCAGTTCCCTTTGCCCTAGAGTATACTGCTCCCCTTTATTATCAGATGGTACTTGGAAAAGGTCCAACAGTACCCCGATTATCAAGTTCACAGAGCTGTATGTTCTTTGCCACACTTTTGGGAAGAGAGCACTCACTCACCCATCTACGGGGGAAAGGAAGTGTGCAGTAAGCACATGCACAGATGACAGGCACGGGCTTGGTGAGAGGGATGGTTCTGGCTGGAAGTGAAGAGGAAACCGAGGAGATAACAGGGACCTCAGTCAACAGACACACTCAATGTGCCCCCACTGGACAGTGAGGAGGGGTGAAAGGAGCTCCCATCTCGGGAGAAAGGAAACCTGAATTTGAATGCTACCTCCACTTCCTAGCTGGGTACCACGACCAAGTGTGATAACCTGTCTGGGCCTCAGGTCTCTCCCCTGTAAAAGGGAGAGGGTACCTGTCCTCTTTACTTGCCAGGGCTGTGAGAGTGCTACTGAAATAGGCTATCCTCCTTCTCAGCTGCCGCCGCCGTTCAGCTCCTCATACAAGGCCCATAAAAGCTGCATGCTCTGACTGAACTCTTTGAGCCCACACAACCCAGAGCTACAGAAGGCAGGTTTCACTTGAAGGATAAGGACAAGTTTGCTAATGCTTGGAGTTGTCCAAAAATAAAAGAGACTAAACAGAATGTTCCATCACTGGGGAGCATCATGAGGAAGCTGGGTGTCACTGCAGGTGGGCACACTCCAGACAAGACTGTGCTTTCGGTCACAGCTGGATGTAACTGATTCGAGGTTCCTGCCAGCTCAGGGACACCTGGGGTCCATCTTAAAATTCTCAACTGTGAGACTGTCCAAACACCAGCTCCTTCAGGGAGATGAACCCCCTCCTCCAGAGCAGCCGGCGCCTCACCTGCCGTCTTCTTGGCCTTGTCCTCTTCCCCGCTGGCCTTTTTGTGAACCACAGCAGGGTAGGTGACAGTCAGTTTGCTGTTGTGCTCCTTGCGAACCACTGACTTCCCAGTTCTGGAGAGAAAAAAGGAGAGCATTTCAATGCCAGGCCAGGAAGAGGTTTACAACTGTGCAGACAACTGGCTGCCAGGCCACTTACTTGCAATGGGGGCATCTCTTAGAAGCCATATGTGCCTTCCAAAAGTGGGCAATCAGCTTGCTCTTACTCTCACAAACATTCTTCACCTGAAACACACAAAGGACTTTGAAAAGAGCCCTTTCTGAATACCTCCTGCCGGCTTCGTTCTAGAGTGTCAGGCCCTCGGGCACAGGGCCGAGCCTCAGGGAGCCGCACTGCCTCACCTGTGAGCCCTGGGCTCCCAGCAGGTTGTTTTCCAGGATTACCCGAGTGTGCTGCTCTAATTCTTCCTGAATCTCATGGATGGAAGCATTAGGGTTTTCTTCTAGAAACTGAAAAATAAAAATTAGTGACCCCTGGCCCCCATGACAGGGCCCTTTCTACTACCCTTTCTACTACAAGCCTTCTAGAACAATCAATTACCATCTTTTTCCTTGGCCCCTCCAGACCAATGCAGCACAGTTGCTCACAAGAATGACCTTCTATACCATGTATGAGCACAGCTCAGCCAAACCCACAAGTCCCAGACTAAGGCAAATTTGAGAAGTGCAGAAGGATGTCAAGGGCTCTGTGCTGGGCCTGTCTCTAGTGTCTGAAGAAGGGATGAAGTAAAAGCCTCACAGGCTTATCTATGAACCAAGGGTCCAACCACAAAAGAGAAAAGCCCCACAGGCCTCCTTTGGTCTAGGGAGGGGCCACAAATCTCAACTTTCTTTGAAGCATCAGTTGGGACATGAACAGGCAACATTTCAAAAGTCTTGACGGAAAACCAAATGAAAGCAGGAAGGGTCTTTGTTCTACTTTGGCAGTCTGGTATTTACACACCCATGAGCCACTTCCCATTCAAAGCTGAACCATCCTTTACTGATACATTGGCAAACCCAAAGATGCGAGACAAACATGTTCCCATTTTCCTCCAGACCCGACCCCCTTCCCTTTCCCCAAAGGGTATCCCCGTGGCCTCTGCTCCTTCTCTAGCCCAGATTTTCCTCTGACCTCCAGGACAGCCACACATCACCTACCCTGTTCAAGGTACTCTCAAGTTCATAGACACCCTGAAGTGCCCCAACCTCGAGGACCCGCAGCTGGCAGTAGAGGAGGTGAACCACAGGCCGGGGACAAGTCAGCAGGTGGCAGTTGAGACAAGAGCCCCGGATCAGCAGGTAGAGTTTCTGAAGAGAAGACAGAGAAGAATGCTGTTAATGGGCAAGGCCAAGGGTCCAAAGAAGCACTGAAGGGTTAGCAAACACTAAGGAGACATGCGATGCTCCTCTTTCCTCTGATCTACTGGGAGAACAGATCACTTCAAAGCTAACAGATATCACAGACCTGTAAGAAACACGGAGCACTGAAGACTTAGACGCACAAACCCAGACTTAATACTTGTTAATATCATTTATTACCATGACCGAGCTTGTCTCCAAAGAAAAGAGGAGATGGGTTCCTTCCCCCAGGAGGGAGGTAGGGGACTTTGGGTGTGGAGCGTGGCCTGTGCTGTCAGACTCAGTGGATGGGCTGATTGTTTTGCTGAACTGCCTTCTTTGATTTTGACTTTTACGAAGTACAGGTAGGGGATGGGGCAGGTGGGATCCACGGGGATATAAAAACAAAAGAGATGAATCTTTTAAAGCAAAGAGTGGATCATTCATTTAGAGGCAGAAAGTACATGCCAGGTACTTCCCTGAGTCCCATCTTCCTATCTTAGAGATGAGGTCACACAAGGACCAGAAAGAGGGTTCTGACCACCCTCCTCTTACTTTAAGTCCAGCATGGCTTTCATCATGCCCAGATGCCTCCCAATGGCATCAGAGTGAAAACCAAGGAGCCACAACTATATTATACCCAACGATGACAACCAAGGTTTGGCTGCAAAGGGAGACCTGACTCTGACTCCTGATTCAGACCCTTACTTGCTGGGTGACCCTAGGCCAGTCATTTAACCTGTTTACCTCAGCTTCCTCATTACCTCCCAGGGAAACTGTAAAGATCAGATGAGATAATGTACATCTAGCTCTTGGCAAACCTTAAAGTGCCACATCAACATTACTAGGACAGGACCTGGCTGGGAAGTGACTGGACCTGTGATTTCACGGGCATGTGGGGAACTCCCCGTGACGAGATTCTCTCTACCGATGCAGGACAGCACCTTCTCTACAACTCAGTCTTCAAGAGTGGCCTAGAACACTAACAGGCTAAGTGACCGGCCCAGAGTCAACTTGAAATCAGGGTCTGCTGGCTTCAAGGCCTGCCCTCAATCACCTCCTCCACGAGGCAACCTTCCCATGATGAGCAGGCTTCAGAAAAAGGAAAATGGCAGATCTAATCAAGATGTTCCCAATGTCGTTTGTGCCAGAACAAAACACAACCCTTCCTTCCACATGTTAATGACTCCAAGCAGACCATCAGCAAAGAAGGGGAAAAGGCCTCACGAAAAAGGGAAAGCCGGCAAATAGAGAACACCACCGGCTTCTCCAACTAGAGTTCTTGCTGCCCATTTGGCAGCCGAATAAAATCATGGAAGTTACCAAGGATGAAACACACTTTATGGGGTATCGGAATTTTAAGATGGAACCAGTCAACGAGCATTTGTCTAGAACCTACTATGAGCCAGGCATATACAAAGACAAAATAGGAACAGTCCCTGGCGCAGGACCCTACATTCTAATGGGGTAAAATGGAGGAGAACGGTGATCAGAAACAAGTCTCCTCCCTTCCTGTCTGCATGGACTGCTCAATCCCACAAGCCACATCTGCAGGAAGTCCTCTGAACAAAGACTGGGCTACAGATCAGCTGAAGCCATCTTCAATGCTATTTTTCCCAAGTGAATGGATTTAAACAAACTGACCATGAGTTGGAAATGGATGAGAATTAGCTAGTTTATAGACAAAGACCACAGCAAACTTGACTCCACTGAGGATCTGGCCCATCCCAAGAACCCAAAGATCTTTAGGCTCAGTCAAGCCCACTGGTCCATCGATGGCCCATCACCCATCCTGAGAGCAGAGCTGGGCATACGCACATCAAAGAGCAGAGGATTGTAGACCATCAGGGGGAGCTCAATGTGGCCCAGGTGCCCAGGGCAGCTGCCAAAGTCCTGCACGCAGGTAGAACATGCTTCTTTGGAGTCGGCTGGTCCCAGGGATAAATCATACAGACCGTTCACTGAGGGGTTCCCCACATTGTCCACGTATCGAGGGTTTGTGATGGATTTGACACTTAGTTTCCTGAAGAAAAGGAAAAACCAACATTTTCCAAGTCAGAGGTGATGTCCTATGCATGATTTGTAATACAGAATAAACTTAATTAATTGCTACATTGTGTAGATTAGCAGACCATCTGTAAGGGCCTGCTTTTAACCTCTCGCCCCCCCAAATGCATCCTCATGGGCAGATACACCTCATTTTAAGGAAACTCATAATATAAAATTACAAAATCAGCTAATGTTACTCATTCTACCAATATTTATCTTCCACATCCCACACACTAGCTGCTAGAAAGGATACCAAGAACATAACCCAGCAGGGTAGAACTGCAGAAAGAGCATTAAGCTAGGAGGACCTGAGTTCAAATTCTACCTAGACCATCTACTAACTTTGGGCAAGCTACTTACCACCTCTGGGCCTCAGTTTCCTCATCTGCAAAATGAGAGTAGGGCGAGTACCAAACGACCTCTGAGGTCCCTTTCAGTGCTACAGCCATAAACCTAAGATGTTCTCAGTTCACAGCAGATCAGGGGAGCGTTCTCTGCTTTGCCAAGGTTCCGGTACACGGTTATTTTAAACAGAGTGAGCCCAAAGTACAGCAAACTAGGCCCAAACCACCTGCATCGGACCAGGCCACCCCCTGCTCACACGCTTGCACAGGTGCTCCGCTGCCCATTAAATAAAACCCCCCTGGGCCTGGTGCCGAGGGCCCTCCTCTGCACACTTCCCACCCCCTTTGTCAACGCTCCCTTTATATGCTCCAGACAAACTGAACGTCCATGGGCCATGATCCCACATTATCCTGTTCTTACTTCCTTCTCTATCACTACTGCAGCCTCAACAACCGGACTGGCTGTCTCTTCCAAGGCTCCTCTCTCTCTCTCTCTCTCCCTCTCTCTCTCTCTCTCTCTCTCTCTCTCTCCCCCTCCTTCCTCCCTCTCCCCTCTCCTCTCTCCCCCTCCCTCCTCCCTCTCCCTCCCTCCCTCTCTCTCTCCCCCTCCCTCCCTCTCTCTCCCCCTCCCTCTCTCTCCCCCTCCCTCTCCCCCCTCCCTCCCTCTCCCCTCCCTCCCTCCCTCCCTCCCTCTCTCCCTCCCTTCCTCCCTCCTTCTCTCTCTCCCTCCCTTCCTCCCTCCTTCTCTCTCTCCCTCCCTCCCTCTCTCTCTGTATCTCCCCTCCCTTTTCTCTGTATGGACATGGGCCCACAGGTAGAATGCAGGCTCCCAGGGAGCATTTCCTCCTCTCTGTAGAATGGTAACAATAACGCTAATAAGGAAATGGGGTTTTCAAGGATTTTGCATGTTATTCATTTGACCCTCACAATGACCCTTGTGAATTTTGTTGGTTTTTTACAGATGGTAGGTGATTTAGGTTTTGCTTTGTAAATTGCATCATTCAGTTCAACACACTCAAACATGGGCCAAAGTTTTGAAAGGAACATTTATCGAGCGCAGGAAATGACACCTGCCATCATTTTTCACACACATGAAACTCCATCTCTCCCCTCCCATGTTCTTGTAAATCCCGTTTGCCGAGACTGAACTTTAGTTTGCATTCCACTGGCGCTTTCTCGTTCCCCTGACTCCCACCTTTGAGGTCAGAGGGAGAGAGAGGAGAGGCAGACCAGATGGTGATGGGATGAGTGTGAGGGGCAGCGGGGTGGAAAGCAAAGCATGCCAGCCGAGTTCAGAGCCAGAGGCCAGGGCTTTGAATCCCAACTCTGTCTGGTCACTTAGTACCAGTGAGATCTTAGACTGATCTGTCACTTAGCATCACTCAGATGATGCCAAGGACCCCTCCCATCCAGCTCTCAATCTACGATCCATCAATGCTCACTTCAATGGAGACAGTTTACAAACTATCACCTGAAACTGATACTTCTCTCGGGTCCTCATTTTTGAAACCCTCTGCCAACGTGCAATGAAGCCTGTCTAGTAAGAGAACCTGGATTGGAATCTAGAATGCTGCTTCCTCCTCCTTGGTGTGCATTCTAGGGATGATGCTGGTCTCACAATCAAGAGACAAGCCTCAAATCCTGACCTGGCCACCTACTACGTGTGGGGACCCCAAGAGAGTCACATAGTCTTCTGGGGCTGTTGATTTACCTACAAAAATCTTAGGTAAATTTCACTCGGAGGACCTCCAAAGCTCCATAGAGATCTATGAACATATAGATCTAACTTGGAACGTCTCAGGGCCCTTTTCCCTCATCCAGAAGATACTCAATCATCAGAATGCTCTGACATTCAAGATAAAAAGACACATGAATAGAACAGCAACTCACATTTCTCTGCTACTTTAAGGTTGACAAACTGCTGACCTCTGAACAACCCTGTAAGTCTGGCCCTGCAAGTATCATGGCCATTTTACTGCTGAAGAAACTGAGGCTAAGAGCAGTGTCACGGCCTGTCCGTGGCCTCTCAGACAGGGAGGGTCACAGTCTGGTTCTGAGCCCACGTCTCCTGACCGTGAGTTACTTCCATTAAGCCACATTGCCTTTCTCTATGCAATTACAGTTACTTCATGTGAAATAGTCAAGGAAATAAGTGTGGAAGTTAGGTTGACTACTCCTGTTTTTCAGGAGAAAAAAAACAATTTTACTTCCCTCATATCCCAGTATGACAATCCCACAACTTTTCATTCATTCGTGGTGCACTCCCTCATTAATTAGTTCCTTCAACGATCAATGATTATTGAGCATCGATGACATATGCATAGTGGGGTCAAGGACAATGGAGAGTCAAAGAGAGCCCTGGGTTGGAATTTCACATCTGACGCTGTCTAGCTGCCACTAATTAGCATTTATTATTTCTCTAGACTAGCAATATTTCAAATTGATAGAAAGCACTGAGGTTTGCGAGGTGCTTGCTCTCCTTAAGTTATCTCTGATCCTCACAACCACCCTGGGAGGCAGGTGCTATAATTACGCCCATTTTATGGAAAAGGAAACTGAGGCGGCAGGCGGACGTGCAGTGGTTTGCCCGGGCAGACCGCTAGCCAGGGTCTGAGGCTGGATTTGAACCTGGCTCTTCTTGAGCGCAGGTCCAGCACTGCAGCCACTTCGCCAGCTGGATGCCACTAAGGGAGAGATGTCGTGTGGGCTGTCCAGCCGGTCAATCCGGCCACAGCCCACGCGGTTATAGCTAGCCCCGAGCCCCCTTACAGAGGTCCGCGGCGGCTGCGCACCCCTCCCCACTCCGAAGGTCGCCGAACTACCGCTCCCAGAAAGCCACGCGCGGATCTGGCATCTACCCTGAGGACCGCGGCGCGCACAGCCTGCTGGGAGTCGTAGTTCCCCAGACCTGCTTCGCCTGGGACCCGGCAGTCTCCACCACCCAGCCTCTTACCTGAGCTCTTCAGCCGAGTACATCCCGAAGGAAATGCCCCGAAGGCGCCGCCATGGAACCTCCTTGGAGACCAGCATCTTCGTATCTCGCCCACGTTTTATCTGCCGAGAATGGCGGCCGCAGCGCCCTAACACCGACTCAAAACTAGCTCAGAGCCGCAACCACCACGCGACTCAAACTACGCGTGCGCGAAAAGAAGCGTGCCTAAGGGGAAAGGATTAAGTGGACTAAACTATTACTATTTCCGGAGAGGGAAGGAAAAGAATTTTTGGAACCTAAGTCTCTATACTAATTATCACAGCATTTATTGACACATAAGGCGTCTACCATGTATTTTAAAATGCTTTAAGAATAGGAAGCATATTATACCTCAAAATTTGTGATAAAAAAATTTTAAAATATGAACACACCCTCCCTTCCAGACCAACATTAAAAACCTCCCCATCTTTTCGCCCAGTGGTACGTCTCTCTCCACTTCCTCCTTTTTCCTGTCGTATCTATTCCCGAAATGCTTTGCACTTGAGCCCAAGATGGCAGCTGTAGTAAGCTGTCGCTTTCTCCGTATAGGTTGCTGCTGGTCCCGGCTGCCGTTGACCGGTAGACGGGCCAATGCACGAAAAAAAGTTACTAGAAACAGGTAAGGGGCATGGGTCTGTAAGGTACAGTGGGTCCCAGCATCGGTTCGAACCTGTGGCGGAAAAGGGAAGAATCGATGATCCTCCGCTGGAGGGGGGGGGGTTTGTAAAAGCGTTGTGGTGCGCATGGGCGCCGGGAATGGCACGTGGGTCCGGGAGGACGACCTGGAGGCCTGCAGCGTTGGGGTCACGCTTTGGAAATCCCTTAGCTAGGATTTGAACCCCGGTACCCTGACTTCAGAGCCAGTGCGCTTTGCACTGCACGTCTCATCCTTCAGCGAGATAGCAGCTCTTTCAGGGCAGCTACTGTTGCATTTTTCGTTTCAATTAAGTAAATACGTATTTAAGCACCTACTCAGTGCTAGGCGCTGGGCTAAGCTCTGGGATGAAAAAAGAGACGAAAGACAGCCCCTGCCCTCAGTGTAATTATTCTTCTAATGCTTTTCAACCTGCTGGCCTTTCTTCCCACCCAGGACCGAGCCCAGCACAGAGTAGGGGCCTAAGGATTATTAATTAAGCACCGAATTAAATTGTGAGCTCTTAGCAATTTTGTGGACTGGAAAGGGAAAAGATGATGGGGGTGGGGTGCGGGGTTAGGTGACTTGCCCAGCTAGTGTTAGGTGTAAAAGATGATTTCTGCCAAGGTCATTCCGCCTTCACCACACTCTGGACAGGGCAATAGGAGGAGAAAAGCTGAATTGTGAGGTTGCCTTCTCTGGTCTGTCTCATGTTTGTGTGTCCTTGTTCGTTTGCATGTGGTCTGCACCATTAGACTGTGAGCTCCTCCAGGGCAGATACTTAGGACATCATCTGTGGAAGCTTAATAAATGCTTGTTGACTTGCTTTGAACTGTAAGTAAAAGTGACAAGCTGATCCCCTCGAGGTCCTTTCTAACACTAAACTTATTACTGCGGTTTTAACATAAGGATGGTCAGAGATTTCTCCTTTTTAACTTTTCCTGGTGATACAATGAAGAAGAGCCCCAAGAACAAATTGTAGAGTGATTAAATCCAGGCAGCTGGGTGGTACAGTAGATAGAGCCCCTGGCCCAGAGTCAGGGTGACTCTTCTTCCCACCTTCAAATCTGATTTCAAATACCTTTTAGCTGTGTGACCCTGGGCAAGTCACTCAGCTTTGTCTTAGTTTACTCATCTGTAAAATGAGCTGGAGGAGGAAATGTCAAACCTCTCCAGGTATCTCTGCCAAGAAAACCCCTAGTGGGCTCGTGAAGAGTCAGACACGACTGAAAAGAATGAATGAAATCAGAATAATACTGTTTATCGTGGCTGTCCTACCAGGCTGTTGTAAGGAAAGTGCTTTGTAAACTGTAAAGTACTCCATGAATATGAGCTGTTGTGCTTATACTTGGAGCCACAATGCTCAAAGAAATAAATTTCTAATGTTGGAATTACAGTAGAAGAGAAAGTTCCTGACTTCCATTGTAATCATAGACATAAGCAACCACCTGGACTCAACAATTTGCTGAGTTGTAAAGATGCCATTTAGGTAAAGGATTAGACATGAGAATAATATGTATGCTTTGATATTTTTAAATGAATAAATTATGTTAACAATAGATTTCTGGGAACATCCCCAGTTACATTTCCCTAGGGTGTCCCTTACGGTATAGAGACAATTTTTGGTGGAAGGTTTCCTACAGTGAACATTTTACAAAGTCACAAAGGGAGATTTTGTGGCTGTAGGAAGTCTGTACCTCAGTCAGAATGTAACTTCCATAAAATCTAATAGGTGAAATGCAGTGAGTGATCTTGAGTGACTTAGTACAGGTGTTGGGATCAGATATTACAGTGTAAGTAGATTTTGAAACCTACCATCTTCATTGGAATAACAGTTATGGCATAAAGGCATCATAGTACAATGGAAAGAACTTGGGCTTTAGAAGATCTGCCTTCAGACAATGCCTCTTTGTGTGACGTGGGTGTCAGTTACTTAGCCTCTCTAGGCTTCAGTTTCCTAATCTGTAAAATGAGGGCATTTAGATTAGATGTGTACACATATAGATGGTGACACAGATAGAATGCTGGACTTGGAGTCATTGAGACTAAAGGTCAAATCTTGTTTCACACACAGTATGGTTGACAACTTCTCCCTTAACTTTCCCAGGCTTGGTTTTCTCATCTATAAAGTGGGGATAATAACAATATTGTACCTACTTCATAGTGTTTTTTGTGAGGATCAAATGAGATAATATATGTAAAAAATGCTTTACAAACCTTAAAAGTGCCATATAAATTTTAGCTATTATTAAGTGGCCTCTGAGTTATCATCTAGCTTTAAGTCTGAACTACATAAATAGTATTTTTGTCAACTTATTCACGTCCCAGAAGTAAATTTGGCATTTTTGCCCACTGATTAAATCTCTAGTGTCATAAACATTAATAAGACATTCTTTGGTTTTATTTTTGGTTTGTCTAATGAGATCACCCTTCCAAATTTTGAATAGCAAGATTTTATGTTAACCATTTTTTTAATCACACGTAACTCAAAACGTAGGTTCTTTGAACGTGGCACAAAATAAACTGAAGTCAGTGTGGTGCATACCAAACTGTTTTAATAGAAGGAGCTCCTCCTTTCTAGGCAGCAGAGGGTTGGATTAGAGACTTTACCAAGATGTGTTTCAGTACTAACATTCTAGGAGCCAAACGGTTCCATCATGCATGTTGGTGTAGATAACTTCAGAGTGGAATGTTTGCCTTACTTGACCTCAGCACTTTGGTGGTGAACATGTCAGCCTTCTGTGTTTTATACAGACCTTATTCTGGAAGCGCATCCCTCCCAGGAGCAGCAGGAGCTGATCTTCCAGGTATGATACCTTCAGTGTGCCAACGGCATCATTTTGGAATTATACTTGGCTATTTTATTGAGAAAAGTTAAATCACTGGTTTTCATTCTGTTCTTCAAGGTTCTGAAGAAGTGGTCATTCCAAAGAGAAAAACTTGGTAAGTGGTGCTGCCATGTGAAGATAGTGATTGTACTGACTTGGAAGAAATGGCAAGGTGATCTGTGGAATCCAATGTAAGATCAGCATTTGTGTGATATTTGTTGCTCTGAAGTGGTGATACCCATTTAAGAGTCCATGACAAAGAATCAAAAGGATTAGCTTCAGGTGCTGATCCCACCATTTGTTGACCCAGTGTTTCTCTGAATATAAAGTAACTAGGCTACATTTAGCAGTCTTGGGCACAGGAGAATGGCCATATAGCAAACCTAGTTTAAAATATCCCAAGAGGCCAGTTTATTTCTACGGATGTCCTAATGATTCAGATTCCTTCTGGTCTTTCCAGGACCAACCTGGAACCAAGCCAGACCTGAGAATATTCATTTGACTGTCACCTGCTTTGGGATCCCCAACTTCAAAGCATGGGTTGAGGCATAAGCATCTTTCACGCTGTCCTCTTAACTTTAAAAGAGGGCCAAGTTAAGCCCAAGTAGAGTGGCCATTGTTGTGCTTGGTCCTCCCAGGTAGCATCTGAGCCCAAGGTTTCATGAAATAGAGCTCAAACCGATCCTTGATGGGGAGGTGGATGTGGATTAGACATAATGGAAAGAGCAGTGGATCTTAGAGCACAGCGACTTAGGTTTGAATTCCAGCTCTGCTGATTAGTAGCTTTGTAACCTTAAGCCAATCACTTATACTTTTCTGGGCCTTAGTTTACCATTTGGTAGATGAAATCCATACTGCTTGAGCTGCCTACCTTACAAAGTTATTGTGAGGTAAGCATTTTGTAAATCTTAAAATGTGTGATTATTATTTTTGTTGTTATAAGAATCACAGGACCTTTCCATCTCACTTGAAGCTTAAACCTGTGTGTTACCTCCCTGTTAGAATGTCTTAAATTTCCTTTTGTGTCCCCAGCCTTAGCAAAGTGCTTTTCATACAGTAAGCACATAATAAATGCTTTTTTTCATTCATTCTTAAAGTCCTTGAGTGTCATGAGCAAAGCCAAGGAAGTAGGAATTAGGGTGGGGGGGATGGGGTGTGAACTACTGAAACTGAGCTGGCCAGAAAATGTCACTGTTAGAAAAATAAAGAAGTGAGGTTAAATAGTAACGTAGGTCGTGTCGATGTCAAAGTAAGGGTTTGTGGCTTAAAATCTTAGCATTTTTGACCTATAAAATACCAGAGAAATAATTTAGTCCAGTCCTTTGTTTTACAGATTCATAAGTCAAACCCAAAGAGGCTACAACTTCCTCAAAGTCACAAGACCATTAAGTGATAGTGGTAGGTTTGCTCTAATCAGTAGGAATTGTAGGGTTCCATGCAGTCATAACAAAATGAAAGCTGACCTCAGAGATGATTAATTTAGTAATGGAATGGGATCAAGGAGGTTGGGGGCAAAGAGACTAATTGAGCTAGGGTTCCAATAATCCAGACTAATTTAGGAACCAGTAATGGATTTTAGCTTCACCATTTGTTCTATCATTGGCTGCAAGTATATCCTTGTAGTAACCTGAAAAGATGGTTAATTTGCTGTGATACTTGTACTAAGATGATACTTTTCTATTCCCAAACTGAAACAACACAGAAAAGC